CTGACTTGAATGTCCAACGAGTGTTGCGTCGTTCACTATTGGCGTATACATGGAAGTCATGTGATCATATCGGCCAACGCAGTTTTGATTCGCGATCCGCAAGCACCTCCAACCCCCAGATTCCTCCACTCAACAACACGATGGTGCGTCTCAGCAGTGTTCAGGCGAAAGCCCTGCGCCGCCTACAAAACCAGGCTGGGGTCCAACCAACCCCAAAAAACAAATGGCCCAGCGTCATCGGCAAGCCCGTGTATATGTACGTTGCCCAAAATTTCCAAGAACCTCAATTCGGGTCGACCCAAACAGCATCTCAACAAACTCGACCGGCTCAATTGGATATTTGCCATAAACACCAAAAGCACTACAGCTAATTCTTCGCCTCATTAGGCCTGAATTCCGCGTCGCTTTAGTCCGCACCCCCAACCTCACCCCCCGATATGCTCAATTCCGCGTCCCCCTCAACTTCAACAAGTTCGATCTCCGCAGCTACCTATGGCACTTGTACGGAGTCGGAACCCTCAGCATCCGCAGTTATGTCCAGGCACAGCCAATTACACGAATCTCGCGTGACAACAAGGGCTTCGGCCCGTGGCGCCGACCTAAGTCACAGAAGCGCATGACCGTTGAATTGAAGGAGCCCTTCGTGTACCCCCAGGAGCCGAAGGATCTGACTGAGTATGTGCCACCCATACTTATCGTTGTCGTCTTGTTCAAGTTCAATTCCGTTGTCTTCCGTCTCTACATTCCCAATACTACACATGCACCTCCAACCAGACGGGACATTTTAACTAATCAATTTCCACCAATAGATGGGAGAATGAAGGCTGGAGAAAGGCCGAGAAGTTCCAGATCGACCTACAAGAAAAGGAGAATCCCAAGCCGAACAAGGGTGAAAAGCCCGATGAAGAGTTGCGCCAAGCCTATAAGGAGCAGGCCAAGGCGCTGCTCGAGAAGAAGGAGACTTGGAGACCGACCTGGAAGGCTCTGGGCTTGGAGCCACACCAGGCGGCTAAGAATGGAGGGTTCGTCCCTGCTGCTACGTTGCCGGCTTGGTATGCTAAGCAGCGGAAGCACGGAGCGCGGTAATCGGTTTCTGTTTTGATGAGATTCCTTGCATTGTTCTTCATGACTTTTTTCCATCCCCTCCATTGGGGAAAATTGGTGTTTCTTGCTCTATCTTCTGGTCCATGTTTGGCTGGATCCGTGTATTATACTCTTGGGGTAGATTGTATACATCTTGAATATGGCGTATCATCTTTTCTGATCTAATCTAGTCAAGGTTTACATGAATTTTATGATAGAATAGATTTCGTGAATTGTGAGTTGTGGTGTTAGTGTTAGAATTGAACCCGGTATGTTGAGTGATATAGACACGAAATATTGACTGGCATGAACGCATCACGGAAGACAATCTGATTAAATACAAGTCAATGGTGCCTCTGGCTATTATACGCTATGCAAAAATGAGGGTAGGTGGGGGGACCGCGAGAGGCAAAGCCCCTTGAACTTATAGTGTTGAGAACGGTTTACAGTCGGCTCTCGACAAAGTTCATCTGGTGCTGGCCCGGCCACTGCGCATCGGGCCAGACATGGCGCAATCCTTCCCAGATGTGTCTGTGAAACAATTGTTAGCAGTTATTAAACCAAGGTTAGGAAGGGATGACATACTTGACATAGATGATTTCCAGACCATCCTTGACTTCCTGTGGGACATCTTTGACGTCTTTCCGATTGTGGTCCGGCAGCAGCACGGTCTTGACGCCCGCACGCAGAGCACCAATCAGCTTCTCTTTGATACCGCCGACGGGCATAACCCGGCCGCGGAGAGAAACCTCGCCGGTCATGGCGATCTGCGGTGGGACAGGTTTGTTGCTAAACAAGGAAACCAAGGCAACAGTGTGGGCAAGACCAGCCGAAGGTCCATCCTTGGGGATAGCGCCGGAGGGGCAGTGGACGTGCAGGCTACGGCTCTTCATTATATCTTCACGGGGGTCGTGAGTCAGACCGAGCTCGAAGGAGTGTGCCTTCACCCACGTCAGGGCTACTTCGACAGATTCCTTGAGCACGTCGCCCAGCTTACCGGTCAGCTGGACGCGTCCGTTGCCGGGCATATCTGCCACCTCGATGAACAGGATGCTACCCTGGCCACCAGTAGAGTAGGCGACAAGGCCTGTGACAACACCGGGACGACCGTGCTTCTCGGTGATCTCCTCCTCAAATCTCTCGATCCCGAGGATATCCTCCAGATCGTCGACAGATACAACAGGGTTATAATCGGCTAGGCGATCGGCATCCCCGGCGTCGGCAAATTGGACGGCCTTATGGCGACATATAGAGCCAAGTTCCCGCTCTAGGTTGCGAACACCTGACTCACGGGTATATGAGGTGATGGTTTTATCAATCACTTCGTCCGACAGATTTACTTGGTCCTCGTTGAGACCATTAGATCTAATCTGCTTCGGAATCAGGTGTTGCTTGGCAATGTGCCGCTTCTCAACGGTGGTGTATCCTGACAGGGAGATGGTCTCCATGCGGTCAAGCAGAGGTGCCGGGATCGTGTCCAGGGAGTTGGCAGTAGCAAGGAAAAGAACCTTGCTCAGGTCGATAGGGATATTGATATAGTGATCGGTGAAGGTATGATTCTGTTCAGGATCAAGAACCTCCAGCATGGCAGCGGCCGGGTCTCCTTGGAAGTTGGCGCCGCCGACCTTGTCAATCTCATCCAGTAGAATGACCGGGTTTGAAACACCGACCTTCTTCAAACCATTCACAATCAAACCAGGCATAGCTGCAACATATGTGCGCCGATGGCCCCGGATTTCCGCCTCGTCTCTGACACCACCAAGGGAGATCCGGTGGAATTTCCGGCCAAGCGAAGCAGCAACAGACTTGGCTAAACTTGTCTTTCCAGTTCCAGGGGGTCCGACCAGAAGCAAGATAGGGGACTTGTCGGTCATACGCTTGGACTTGAGGATCTCAAGGCGGGTCTCCAATGCAATCCGGTCAGACTCTGACAGCAGGGGGACATCATGATCGACATCTCCAGCTGCCGAGGCGTCCAAGTCCCTGGAAAGTCCTGAGATCTGGCGTTCAACATCCGAGTTGGTGGACTGCTTCAGGCGCAACACGGCCAAATACTCCAGCAGTCGCTTCTTGATTCGCTCCAGGCCGTAGTGGTCCTCATCCAGCTGCTTCCTGGCGTTCTTCAATGTGTCCGGTCCAAGTTGGTCCTCTGTCGCTTTGGTCCATGGGATTTCTGACAAGTTTTCCAGATAAGTCCGGCAAACACCGTACTCGGCATTGGCAGGGTTCATCTTTCGCAGGCGTTTCAATTCCTTGTCCGCAACTTTCTGAGCTTCGGGACTAAGCTGCGCATCATTCAGCTTCTGCTGTAGCTCATCTACTTCATTGGGTTCCTTCTCTTCGTCGTTGCCCCGCCCACCAGGAGGTGTCATGCCTGAGAGGCCCGAAATTGCACGCTTAGCGAGCAACTCGCGATCACGGGGGTCAATATGACTGATATCCATGGCGGAGGAGGGGAACGAGGTCGAGCCAATCGAGGTGACCCTGACACTACTCTTAATATGCTGTGCCTGTCTGGTGAGGATCTCAACAACCCTCTCCAAGCGTTCCTTGACATTCAGCGAGCCGAGGATACGTAGCTTTTCCTCAAAGCTTGCGTCAGATACATCCGCCATGAAATCCGCCAGCTTCCCCGCTTGTGTCAATTCTGTCTTTGATATATAGAGCTCGAATTTTCGGGCAACGAGTGGCGAGAGACGAGAGGAGGCTGCCGACAGCAATGAGGAGAGACGTAAGAGAGTAAGAAGCTCTCGAGAGAGCTGTCTCAATTGTTGGAATAGCACAGCGACTTCCGCATCGCCTTGGCCAGAGTCTAGAAGTATAGGAAGTATGATTAGCCATGTGGTCTTTGTGCTTTGTGTCTGTGGAAACTAACTTGATTCGTCATGAATGAAGACCTCAGCCTCAAAGTATGGGCGGTCTCGTAGGACCTTCTTAATAGAGAATCTTTGCCAACCTTGGACAAGTAAAAATGGCTCCGAGTAGGCCCGGCGCTGAACTCCGATGACTTTGCCAACAGTTCCGCATCGGAACAAGTCCTCTTTCCGTGCCTGACCGGCGTCAATTGAGTCATATTGCTCCTTTCGCTCTGAATCCGAGTCGTCGCCTTCGAGGAGCTGCTGTCCATCCCGGCTCAAAAAAGGTGAGTTGAGTGGAACACATCCGAAGGTGATAGTATTCGCATCTCGCTTCGAAGGCTTGTCCACTAGTGACGACAGAAGATTGGCGAGATCGGGACGGTTGGAGACTGGAATGCGTAGAGTCACGCCCGGGAGCAGGACCGAGCCCTTGGGAAGAGGTACAAGGGGAATCTTAGTAGTTCTACCGTTGGATCCCATCTTGTGCGGGCCCTAGTGATGATGGAATAGGGTGGCAAAGATAGGAATCCGGGAATATGAAGTATGAAGGTGTAAGTGTAAATTGTATGGAGAATGAGGAATCAGTGATGGGACAAGGGATGAAGGGGATGTGAATGAATTATATGTAGAGGAGAGATGGCCGGGGAGGTTCCAGAAGCACGTAGATGAGATGGGAAGTCCGGGGGAGATAAGTCGCATGCCTCGCAATCTCCACGCCCTGTAGCCGAGGTTGATGATCAACCGGGGAAGAATTAAGGGATTTGCCGTTGACGGTTTATATCTAATCTGATAGATCTACATGCATTGTAATAACTATGAGTCTACTATTCTTATATATTTATTCCTATTTCCCAGATTATTGTATGTGCCCAACGTCGTAATCTCTGTTCAGGTGATCTGCATGTGTCCCGTGATCGGAGTTCTCCAAACCCACTTCGCCTCTTCGCCTGACTTTCCTCGGCGATCTGGTATCTTGCGGGCATAGCTCATACAACCCCGTACATCTACTCGCATACTCTCTAAGCCCATTCTCTGCATACGCTTTCTTTCCGCCTCAAAATGACTACCCCCGCCCCCACCAAAAAGACCTTTACCATCGGCACCCGCAAATCTAAACTGGCTCTGCTCCAGACAGATTTAGTCCTCGAGGCATTGAAGAAAGCATTCCCGCAATATGAATATAAGGTATTCTCCAAGGAGACAACCGGTGACCTGAACACCACTATCGCACTACGGGATTTCACCACCAAGAACCTGTGGACGGAGGAATTGGAGGAATTGATGATCAACGGACAGGTCGATCTTATCGTCCACTCGCTGAAAGGTCTGATAATATCCCAATCTCACACAGAGTAGCTGTTTCTACCCTAAAAAAGAGCTGACGACGACTTATGCAATCTTATCAGATGTCCCCACTACTCTCCCCTCTTCCTGCAAGCTAGGCCCGACTATGCCCCGCGAAGATAGCAGGGATGTACTTGTGGTGAAACAAGGGTTGCCATACAAAAGTCTTTCCGAGATCCCCGCCGGGTCCGTAGTTGGAACCTCGTCCATCCGCCGCACAGCACAGTTGGCCCAGAAATACCCCCACCTGAAAGTCCAGGATGTCCGTGGTAACATCGGCACTCGCCTATCAAAGCTAGATGCTGAAGATAGCCCGTACACATGTGTCATTCTTGCCGCTGCTGGTCTGCTGCGTCTTGATTTGACGGATCGTATCACCCAATATTTGGACTCCAAAAACAGCGGCATGCTCTATGCTGTCGGACAGGGTGCCCTTGGCATCGAAATTCGCAAGGAAGACGCTGTTTTGCAGAATATGTTGGACACGATTGGTGATCAAGATACCACATTCTCGGTCTTGGCTGAGCGCAGTCTTTTGCGGACTCTTGAGGGAGGCTGCAGTGCCCCGCTAGGCGTTGAAACCGAATGGGTCCAAAATGCGCAGGGTGCCAAGCAGTTGCGAATGCGGTCTGTGGTCGTCAGTGTCGATGGCAAAGAATGTGCTCAGGTAGAATTGGAAGCCGACGTCACCTCTGCTGAAAGTGCTGAGGCCTTCGGCGTCACCGTAGCCAAGGCCCTGGTCGCCGACGGCGCTGGAGACATTCTCGAGGCTATCCAACAGAACAAGGCCAAGGAGACTGTTTCCACTGCAGTCTGAATGTTCAGGTCAACTTTTACTGTAACTAGGCAGATATACCCTGTTGAAAATGAAGTGAACGAGTTTTCTTGTCTAGTATACCCGTACTCGCTCAATATATCAAGGATATTCACCAAGAACCCTGTCTATCGTGGCTGTTTGGACATAGTAAAGCAGCTCTGTTCATGACGGTTATTTTACATTATCCCCGGTTCAGTGTGTTTCCAGCACCCTTCGGATTAGCTTCCGTGTACTCGTCCCAATTTCGTGCCTTCATCGTTTCCTGGTCGGCAATGTTGTGATCATCCTCGTCAACTTGCGGTTTGATGCCAGACTTCTCGCCTCCTCCTTCGATGACATTTCCTCGTCTGTGTTCTTCCTCGAGATATTCATCAATTGTCATGGTAGGAAGGTTATGGCCCGAACGAAAGACTCCTTGTTGCATTTCTGAGCGCCGACCCAACAACGTGAACGGCTGCATTGGCTTTCCTTTGCTGTTCAGGATAGGACCGCCTCTGCCTCCCTTCAAGAGCTGTGACACTGAAGGATCTAGCTTCTCTGAGTAATTCAAACCTCCAATATTGCTTCGCTGTCTGGGATCGTCCGTCGGTGGAGGGCGAGGCGGCGCATTGCGCATACCTGAAAGTATCGACAATTCTTGGATCAGGAGATCTAATGCCTGGAAGGTCTGGTGGGTGTAAAGCTGAAGCTCCGCTAGATAGAGGGATCGGGTGTCATCGTCGTCGCTTTGCAGTCGAGCTTCGTTGCGTCCGAAATACTTTAGATGGGGTAAGCAAGAACGCCAAACAATATCCAGCAAAGGATCCCGCATACCTCCAGTTTCTGCTTTAGTTCTTTTTCTTCCCGAAACCGTGTCACTTTAATTTCCCGTCTGGCGGCAGCGTCGTTAGCTGGCGCCAGGGTAAAAGAGGTCGGATTGGCCATGTATTGCTCAAAGAGCTTCTTATCCCCGCCAGAGAGTAGCAGGTACTCATCCAAACGCATCAGGTATTTCTCATATTCTTCGAGCGCACGCTTGAGGACGGCTTCACGATCTGAGTCAGAAACTCGCTGCAAGAGCTCAGCTAGATGAAATTCCAGTGTCATGTACCTGGACAACAAATCAGCCGAATGGGCAACGCAATGCCGGAATCAAGGTGGCGTACTGGAGATCACCGGTCGAAATATCTTCCAACAACTCATTAGAACTAAACAAGGACAGCATGCTCACTTGACGCTGGCATTCTTGGAATTTGGCTATCGTCGCATTCACCTCGTCTCGGTAGGTCTCAGCGTTGGTGTCACCCCGCGATCCCAATGCATCTTTTTGCTCTTTTGCTGATGCAAATAGAGAGCGAAGACTCTGCGGTTCTTCCATTGGTTCAGATATTGGCCTTGCGGGCTTATATTAGGTCGGAGATAGGTTATGAGAGGTGCTTAGTAGGGGCTCACATGTCCCCCGCGATCTCGATCTGAGTTTTGGAAATACGATAAGGCGATAAGGCCAAGCTTTTATCCGATAAGCGTTTGATAAAGAAGCTCATACTTCGATCCTCAATTTTTTGAGTTCTATACTTGTTCCAAGGTTGGTATCAAGACTATACGCTTAGTCCAAAGGCTTCTACTCTTATATGAGTCGATGTATGTTTTTTCTGTATACTGAGTGGCGGGTTTGTGTTGATATGTGTTCATTCCACTCTTATTCTCCTCTAGGGCTCTCCTTCATTTTAGTCTCTCTATAGATAGTCGTTACTTTTCAATCATTGATGGCTCAATTCTCTTATTATACTCATTTTAGCATGTGCACAGGCACCTTCAGTCCTAGTTTATATTCTCATCGGATGTCATGCCTGGATGCATGAATGGATATATATAGGACGACAGAGCATAGGAACATGTAATTTATTGTATAAGTGTAAATGCCGTCAATTTTCTAATGATAAGAAAAATGCAATATCATTGGAATATCAAAAAAAAGACTTAAGGCAGTCATTGATGGACTTTTGTTAAGCACATGGAGCCATTCTTGAAAGCCTTCTCAATGCACCTACAAACATTGCGATCTATCATTCTCACTTCACTTATGAGAAATTCATGTCTAAGTAGGACGGGGTACAAAAACGTATTATGTCGTCGGCGCTTGCTAAGTAAAATACGGTTTCCTCTCTTGCCCAGGTTTGAGTCACTTCCGTAGCTTTATTTATTCTTCCTCTTCCTCTTCTTCAGCATTTCTTCTTCAACATAGTCTAGCACAGGGTAAGACAGCTAAGATGGAGGCTGAAGATACTAGCTCAGATCTATCTGGCGACGAAGCTGCGACCCCACAATTGAAGGTGTCGCACCGACACAGAACTCAAAATGCTATGTTTAATGCGCTGTAAGTTCTTGATATATCTTAGCTTGAAGACCAATGCTGACAGTTCGGAAGGCTTGAAGACCATGTCGTCAACGGGCCTAAAGACGGTCCCAATGCATCACATATCGAACTATCTGATGCGGAACTTTCAACTGCTCGTTTGCTCGCGAATACAGAGCCCGGAGGTGGAGTTCTAGATCCTCGCGAATACCAAATCGAGCTCTTTGAAAGAGCACGGGCTAGCAACACGATCGCGGTTCTCGACACAGGGTCTGGGAAGACTTTAGTGGCCGTGCTTTTGCTCAAGCATATTCTCCAAATCGAACTCAACAAACGTGCAAATGGCGCAAGTCCTCGCGTTGCCTTTTTCCTGGTCGACAGTGTGACTTTGGTTTTTCAACAGTCTGCGGTATTGAGAAACAATCTCGATCAAAGAGTCGCTCATTTTTATGGCAATCTGGGACCCGATCTTTGGGACCAACAGACGTGGAACAAGCATCTTGAAAAGTACATGGTGATTGTATGCACGGCGGAGATTCTAAACCAATCTCTACTGAATGGCCATATAAGAATTGACCAGATCAATCTTCTGATCTTCGACGAAGCTCACCATGCCAAGAAGGAGCATCCGTATGCTCGGTATGCAGCCCATTTTTCAATTGTAACATGATGACAAGAGCTGACATTTATTAGTATCATCCGAGACAGCTATCTGAAAGCGGATCCTGAAAAGCGCCCAAGGATCTTCGGGATGACCGCTTCCCCGGTTGATGCTAAGTGTGACATAGCGGAAGCAGCAATGTGAGCACCCTAACTAACCGAAATTGGAAGCTTTTGCTGACTGTATATAGCCAACTTGAGACTCTTTTAGATAGTCGCATTGCAACAACCTCAGATCTTACCCTCCTGCGGAATTTCGTGAACAAGCCAATGGAAGAGGAATGGGTCTACGACAAGCTTCCTCCGCCGTTTGAGACCAATCTACATGGTACTTTGAAAGTCAAGTATGGTGATATGCCAATACTAGAGGGCGCATTTCGATTTGCATCGGTTGCAAGCTCGGAATTAGGGGCTTGGTGCGCAGACCAGGTATGGGCCTTGGCCCTGGCTGACGAAGTGCTGCCCAAGCTGGAGGGTAGTATCGGCAAAGTCACCGATTCTGATCCCCAGGATTCTGAAAAGGCCTCAGAGGACATTAAGCGGATCCAAGAAGCCAACCAGCTCGTCAAGGAATACATTGAAAACCAGGCATTTACGCCGGCTGATCTCAGCTCCAAAGTAGAGCTTTTAATGAGAAAGTTGCAAGAACAGTTTGCGAAGTCGCCAGATACCAAATGCATTGTGTTCACACAACGGCGCAATACAGCTAAAATAATGTTACAGCTGTGCGAAAAGCTGCAACTCCCAAACCTCCGTCCCGATGCTTTGGTTGGTGTTCGCAAAGGAGATGCTCTAGGAATGAATTCCACGTTTCGTCGGCAGTTTCTTGTCTTGGTCAAGTTCCGAAAAAGTGAAGTCAACTGCTTGGTGAGCTTTTACACGACCCGAAAAAACAACTTATAGAGAAAGTCTAATCATTTCCAGTTTGCAACATCGGTCGCAGAGGAAGGCCTTGACATCCCAGATTGTAATCTGGTGGTAAGGTATGTCATTCACCATTCTAATCACAACTGTTACTTTTACTGACTAGCAAAGATTCGATCTGTTTGACACGGTAATTCAATATGTCCAAAGCCGAGGCCGTGCCAGAAGCGCTGATTCAGTGGTTAGATTTCCTTCCCCTTTATGAGACGCAACTGATTTACTCACTACTCTGCAGTACGCAACTATGGTCGAAAGTGGCAATCACAACCACAGCATGAGACTACAGGAAGTTCGAAGAGCAGAGGTAAGGGTGCTTCGCAGGTAATAGAGCACTGAACTAACTGACATAAACAGCACCTCATGAAGAATTTCTGCAATCTGCTGCCGGAGGATCGAAAATTGTACGGAGCCGATCACGATACGAAAGGGCTTATTCACGAGGAAGATAGGAAGAGAACATACACCATCCCGAACACAGGTGCCATGTTAACCTGTCGCCATGCGATTGGTGTATTGGCACGATTTGCCAGCTCATTGGTAAGAATCAGTTTGCCTCTGATGGCTTTCATCAAAGCTAACGCTGACCAAATTCTAGCAATACGAAAATGAGATATCAGCATCGGTCACATACATTGTGATGTCAGAGAACGAATCATTCAGCTGTGAGATAATTATGCCGGAGAAGTCGCCTGTGCGAAGAGTGATTGGACGTTCCGAATCGAAGAAATCACTCGCCAAGCAGTCCGCTGCTTTTGATGCGTGTATGCTGCTTCGCCAAAAGAATCTGTTGGATGAGCACTTCAACTCTATCTACCACAAGCGCTTGCCAGCAATGCGCAATGCCAAACTGGCTATTACTTCAAAGAGGACTGATCAGTACCGAATGCGTACTAAGCCCTCAATCTGGGCTAGGCTGCAGGGAACCGTTCCCACACGCCTCTACGCGATAGTTATTCGTCTCATTCCATCAAAGCCTCTGGCTCGAGCTCATGGAAGTATTGTATTGCTTACACGAGAGCGAATCACTACAATTCCGACTTTCCCGGTCTTCTTGGATAAGGATATCGAGACTACAGTTCAG